AGGAAATAGAATAATCTTTATGTCACAAAGGACATTTTTAGGCTCATAATGATATGCTAAAATTAAAATGGCACATTTGTATAAAAAACACACTTTATTCTGTTTGCTAGTAGGTGGTAGTTATATGTGTGTTTTAAGTGTGATTTATACTGTTAAAGACTGTACCAATCCTACCAATTAGAAACTGGTTTTACTTCATGTGTGTCACAGTTTTAATTAATATAATTCTAATTAACCCTGAGATAGTTACTATTGAGAACTTTTTAATTTCATATATTTTCTGTCAACTTAAGCATACCATAGTTCACTTAATTTTTAAATTGAATAATTCTTTAAATTGAGGTAATAATGGTTTACTACACTGTATATGATTGAGAGTTATAGAATCACACCTCTTCAGATCTATGTTATCCACTACAGATCATGGTTTTGATACTATTAACAAATCACTTACAGTGATTTGGAAGTCAAAGTACTGAATTAGTCAATTCACATATAAAACAGTTAAATATATCTGCAAGATGATGGGGGATTTATTGTTTTTATTTTTAAATAGCTTTGTCCTTGTGTGCTTATAAAACTCTTTCTTTCTTTTTTTCTTTTAGATTTCTGTTAGAGCTGAATAGCAGATCATTTTCTAACCAAAACACTGTAAAGAGCCTACTTATTGATATGATTGCTATTATTTTGCTTTTGGTCACTGCTGTTGTATTATAAAAATTGGTTTACTTATTTATTGTGGGGGGAGAGGGGTGTTGTCCATGATTCTGTACACTGGTGCTTCCCTGTATCACTAAGAGCAGGTAGAGGATGAAGCAGCCAAGTAAATAGCTGCTAGAGTTCTAATTAGTTTGTCTAACTTAACAATATCCAATCCTCATTGTATTCTGTAGTATGAAAGGTTAAGCATAAATGGCCATTTACTTTGCTTTTAGAAATATTTTTTCCTTATAAATTTTCCTTAATTATACTTTTATGTTTATTACAGAAAATTAAGACAACTTAGAGAAGTATTAATAATACAGATCACCAGTAATTCTACAGTAGAGAAAAATGCTATTTATATTTTTTTTCTACAGAATTGAGGTCCTACTATTCATATAACTCCAAATCCTCACCTTTTTTTTCATTCAGTTTTATTGACACTTTTCCATGCTAATAATAATTTTAAAATGTCTGAGAATCAGGGCCCTCCCTGGTGGCGCAGCGGGTAGAAGCATAGCACTGAGAAGCTTGGGCCACTCCCGCATGAGTTCGATTCCCGCCTGCCCCGGAGGAGATCCACATGGCGTGGCAGACCTCTCCGCTGCTCCCCTCAGCAGTGTGCTTCGTCGGTCGGCCTGTTCTGCTCCCCTCTCTGTCTTTGGTGAATCCTCTCACCCTCCGCATTTCTGGTCTGTACCCCAGCTCTATATGAATAAATAAATAAATCTTTAAAAAAAAAAAAGTCTGAGAATCAAATTTTTCATTCTGTTGTATCCAGTCCTATTACTTAGTTCTTTGACTTTTGGTACCATTTTTCAATATTATAAATAAACCGGTGATGAACATATTGTGTACACATTTTTATGTTCACTTTTGAGTGATTAAATGGCATTCTGCTACCTGCTATTTTGTAAATTTCCAGTACTGTATAGGATATCAAGTAAAAAAGAGTTTATATAGTGGTCTATGAGTTTTTTTGTTTGTTTGTTTGTGTTTGTTTGTTTGTTTTTTAAGATCAGGACTTTCACCAGAACTGATCCAGTGCACTGGATTCACCACTGGGGAAAATTTATGAGCAGAGATGTGCATGAGAATGAGCGTGGGCTGTGTGTATTTGTTTGCATGATGTGATCCAACTACAATGGAATATCAGACTTGAGAATTCAAAGAAAGTAAAGTTTGAAATATTGGGTAAAGAATTTGAAATTGTCAGGTTTGGCAACCAAAAATCCTGAATATTCTGGATTGTTGTACTTATAACTATTGGGTTGTGGGAAAAGTCATGATGTGTTTTCTATGTTTTCCCAAGCAAAAATTCATCTGACTTTTCTGACAACTCAATATTTGTTAAACAATTGGATGTAGCATATTTTGTAGGGTATTTTTTTTTCATTTTAGTGATAGCTTTTTTCACTGTGCATAACTTTTTGGTTTAATGTAGTCTTATGTTTGTTTTCTGTCTCCCTTGCTGTTGGAATTCAGCCTTCAAAAGAGTTGTGGAGCATATCACCTATGTTTCCAAATATTATACGGCTTTATGTTTTACCTAAAACCATAATTCACTTGAATTTTTTAGTATGATGTGAAATAGTGGTCAAACTTCATTCTCTTGCATATGGCTGTCCAGTTTTTCCACAACTATATCGATCTTTCTTTCTTTGTTCTTGGCCACTTTGTCATTCAATAATTGTTCATATATATGTGGGTTCTGAATTCTATTCCATTGATCTGTATGTCTGTTACTCTTACTCCAATATCATACTGTTTGATTATTATTGTTTTAAAGTGTTGTTTGAAATTTCTGAGTGTAATTCGTTCATTAATTTTTTTCCCCATCATGTTTGCTTTGTCTATTTGGCATCTTACTTGTTTCTATATACATTTTAGTAGTGTTCATTCTATTGCAGAATGCCATTGGAATTTCTATAGGAATTGCATTGAGTCTGTATTTTAGAGTGAATGGCCTTATTAATGGTATTTATTCTTCCATTTCATAAACAGAGAATATCCATTTCTTTGTCTTCTATTTCATTTAATAATGTATTATAGTTTTTATGTACAAAGCCCCTTAATAATTTGGCAACACATGATGGTGACAAGAGCTGATACTTCAGTAGAGATGACAGTAGAATGGTCTCTCATGTTGTTCTCATAATACATTCAGGTGAGAATGTGATGATGCAGTGTTGGTTTGGAAAAGTGTGTATTGATAGCAACCAGAAATTTATAGTGGTGAAAAATCATGCAAATATTTTTTTTTAATTCTTAATATATATTGGAGGGGCCTCTTTAGTGACAGCAATCGTAAGTGAAGTTTCACTAAGGAATTCATGCTTGGGAAGTACAGGGACTGTAATACTTAACAGAATGAGTCAAGGAAGAAGGGCTTACATTTAAAATGATTAATTTCATTTAGTGGTTCTGATTCCTCAGAAGGCTATTGAGAGTATAAAAATTTCAGTCCTAAGCCTGTATGGTGAATTTAAAGTATAGTGAGATGAGGGATATTTTTTTTAAATCTCCCTCAGAAATTCTGATGAATGTCTCTGGTTATAACCACAAAATAATTTTTTGAATAATATAATTGTTTTTACATCATTCTGTGCCTTTTTTCCATCTCAGTTGTAATCCCTGTGGGCTTCCCATCACCAAATCACCCTTGTGCTATCACCATAGTCGGGTGCACTTCCCTCCCTTAACCAGTTTTCATCCCATTCCCCCTCCCACCCCTATAAAATGTCTCTGGTATATAGTTGTTCATTGTTATTATTTCTCCTCTAGCCCTTTATATTCCTGCTATGAGTGAAACTGTCCGGCATTTTTTTCTTTTTCTTTCTAGCTTATTTCACTAAGCATGATCTTTTCCAGCTCCATCCATGTTGCTGCAAAAGGCATGTGTTTTTTTGTTGTTTTGTTTTGAGTAATATTCCATTGTGTATATATAACACATCTTTTTAATCCAGTCATCTACTTTTGGGCATTTGGGTTGCTTCCATGTCTTTCCAATTGTAAATAAAGCAGCAATAAACATGGAGGTGCAGTTGTCTTTTTGAATCAGTGTTTTTGTGTCTTTTGGTTAGATACCTAGGAGTGGGATTGTTGGGTCATATAGAAGTTCCATTTTTAGCAGTTTGAGGAACCTCCAAACAATTTTCCATAGTGGTTGGACTAGTTAGCATTCCCACAAGCTGTGCAGGAGAGTTCCTTTTTCTCCACATCCTCGCCAACATTTGTTGTTGCTAGTTGTTTTAAAGATGTGCCATTCTCACTGGTATGAGGTGGTATCTCATTGTGGTTTTAATTTGCATCTCCCTTATCAAGTGACATCGAACATTTTTTCATATGCTTGTTGGCTCATCTGCATTTCCTCTTTGGAAATGTGTCTTTTTAGCTCTTCTGCCCATTTTCTGATGGGGTTGTTAATTTTTATTGAGTTTCATCACTTCTTTGTATATCTTTGCGATCATTCCTTTATCATTAGTTTTGTGTGAAAAATATTTTTCCCAATCAGTGGGATGTCTGTTTGTGTTTTCGTAATGTCTCTTTTGCTATACAGAAGCTCCTTAACTTGATATAGTACTATCTGTTTATCCTTTCCTTCACTGTTGTTGTATTGGGTGCTATATCTTCAAAGATGTTACCTAAGTGTATGTCATGTAGTGTTTCGCCCATCTTTGCTTCCAGGTATTTTATGGTTTCATTTCTTATGTCTAGGTCTTTAACCCACTTCGAGTTGATTTTTTGTGCATGGTGTGAGGTAGTGATCTAGTTTCATTTTTTTGCATGTAGGTTCCCAGTTTACCCAGACCATTTGTTGAACAAAATTTCTTTGTCCCATTGTATCTTCTTTGCTCCTTTGTCAAAGATTAGCTGTCCATAAACCTGTGGGTTTATATCTGGGTTTTCTATTCGAATCAACTGCTCTCTGTGTCTGTTCTTGTTCCAGTACCATGCAGTTTTGATTATTATGGTTTTGTAGTATAGCTTGAAGTTACCTCAAAAAATTTTTGTTTTTTTTTTTTACCCTAAGAATTTGTCAAATTGTCTAACCTACTGTTTTTAATTGTAGTACACATATATGCATTTTCTTGATTTTTTGCATGCTGTTTTAAGTTCCTTTATTATTAATTTATTGATCATAATTAATTAATTTATTAATTATTATTAATAAATAACAAACTTATTTATTAGCTTTACTTTGCAAAATCAATTTTCAGCAAGTGAAATATACTGTAAAAGTTAACAAAACTTTCTGAAACCTAATTTCTTATTCATTCATAGAGACAAGAGCCAGGATGGATGATCAAACATGGTATTTGAGAACTTCAAAGTTGGCTCTCGCCTTGGCAATTATTCACTCAAAACCAGCAGACAAAAGCAGCAGAGAACATACAGAGTACCTTGCGAGGGTGGTATCTGGGCAGGAGTCACAGTGGAGTTCAAAAGTTGAAGCTTTGGAAGCTGAAGTGTTACAGTTACGTCAAAAACTTCTTCTAAGCAGTATTTGTTCCAGATCATTTAAGAATGGTGAGTGTATGAGATTGCCTTTTAGTAATTTATTAATCTGTTTTATTTCAGCTTCATAATCATTTAGAAATTTATTACCAAAACACCAAACTAATTAGTTCCCTAAAGTTAGTTCTCTTATTCTTTCCTTATAAAGATTTTTCTTTACTTCTACTCATTCATGAAATGTTACTGTCCCATCCTAATAAATGGGGACAAAATGGACCTTGAAATGAAGTTAGACAATGAAAATATTATAGATGTGGAAACAATAATGTTTTAGTTTCCTGGATAGATTAATTTTAAGATTTGTTTGGCCTTATTATTTTACTATATATTTTATGTTGCTTTTATATTAAATAATCATTCTGGTATATATATCAAGTCCCAGCAATGGACCAGACATGCAGTGGGTCATGAAGATACACATAAGAGGAGATGGTGTACTCTGTATCAGTCTAGCAGTGAAAATAGGCCCAGTTGTGATAAATGTTATAATAGAAATATTGATGAGCAGCCATTCAGTTCACTTTATTTTTGGAAAGACTTCTCAGTTCTGGCCCTCAATTGTCTATTCACTTGTTAGAGAGCTGATCACAGAATATGCAGCAGGAGGCAGGGACATGAGCCATGGAGGATGTAAGTACCATTGAGCACACTGCCTGCATAACATTTTAGAACACCATAAAAGAAAGACATAATAGGTGAAGAGAGAGAGAGAGGTGGTTTGGGACCACATTCAGAAGAATGTTGAATGTCAATCTAAAGTCTAGTCCCTATCAGTAAGTTGAGAGTACAATTTATCATCTTTTGAGGGCTTTATGAGAGTAAAAGAGGAAGACTGTTACTAGTGATAATTGCACCACAGGCAAAAGCCAGGACTTACTTGAGCAAACTGAAACATGTGGTCAACTCATTTAACAGGAGCTGTGTATTGATTTAGAACAAACTCCCTCATATTGGGATTGAGAAACAAGTCGATGATCTTTCTTTTAAAAATATAAACCAGAACATATTCCTCTTTTAGCAGATACCCTCCCTGACTTCCATATGTTTCACACTAGGCTCAGACTTATGATTGTGGCCACAGTGCCATGGATAATTTCATCCCTACTCACCTCTCCCATCTCATCTCCTAATTTTCCCCTTGGTATACTTGGCTCCCACTAACATAGTCTTCCTCCCTACCTTTCAGAGGTCTTGCCTTGAACCTTTGGTCAGCTCCTCTCTTTGACACTTTTTGTGATTGATGGACTTTTTCCCTTCCTGGAGGTCTAACTCACAAGGACACCTCCTCAGTGAGAAATCTAGATATATAAAACCTCCATCCATTTTCCTCATTCAAGTACCCCTGTGCATTATCTGTATAATTGTTAATTATTGTCTTATCTCATGTCATTGGAGAAATATAATATGATCAAAAGACACTTATTCAAGAATAGGCATCATTATCAGGATCTGTGACCAAGGTTGGTCCTAAGGTGTGTACCATCAGGATAAGAACATAGGGGATTTTAAATGATTATGCAGGGGACTAGTCTGAGATTAGGCCATTTGTGGTGATACTATAAGATTGATTCTTGAAGTCTAAGTTCCTATCTTATTGGTGGGCAGAAGTCTTCAAACACAGGGCTGTAGTGTAGCAGTCTTCATGGCATGGTCGATAGGTCATCTCTAGATGATCTCTTGGCTTTTCATAGCCACTGAATGGCTTAGTCAGGCTATTTAATTTTTTACATAGAAATTTCAAGATCAGACAGAGAAAAAAATGGAGTCTGTTTGGCTCAAAAAGATGTACACACTCCTAAACTAGTCTAAGTTATCAAGGAAGTGGACTTGATCTGTACAGCATTCTCTATTCATCATCTACTACAGCCTGATGCACAGAAAGAAAGCACTCAATAAATATTTATCAAATGGAAGTGGAACATATTGGATACCTGGGCTACAATATCCCTAGGAGACCAGTTTTACAATTGTTCATCAAAGTCCACATAAAGAATGATAGGTTGAACTAGATCTATGTGGTGAGAGCTAAAAGGAGGTCAGACATACATGAATGATTTCAGAGTAGGTACTTCGACATTTGTGAATGATTTCTAAGAGTAGTTAAGGAAGATAGAGATATTTAGGGTAATTGAGATTTCTGGCCCTAAACCTACTGATTTGACCACAATGTTTTGAATCTAGTGAACACAGAAATAAATTTGTGGGATGTAAAGGTTGAGTCTGGGTTTTAGTGTGGGTGATCCTTGAATCCTTAGGGATCACCTATAAGTATGTAAAAATGTGACCCTAAAAATTCAAAGGGAATGAATGAGCAGATTGGAAATAGAGATTCAACGTTATGTTTTGTTGGCATTTAAGTGTGAGTTGAAGTTACAACTGTAGATAAGTCTCAGAATGGAATTTTGGGGGCTGCAGATGCTGACAATCTAGAAGCAGGCAGGGAAAAAGGAACCTTTGCAAAAGAGCAACTATCACAAAGGAATGTGTGAGTCTGTGGGTAAAAGGGCACTAACTTTAGTTTTGGGAATTATGAGGAAGAGTCTTTAATATCTAAATATTATGAAAATCGCATACTTGTGTGAGCAACAGTGCTAAATGATTTATAGCTAAATTTGAATCTCTCTAGTCTTTCTAGATAGTGGCTTCCTTAGGTATACTCAGTAAATGGCCAAGATAATCAAATTTTCTTCATTTTTTCTGTTCTGTGATACTACTTGTATAATGTCACACATGTAAAATTTCCAGTAATTTTAAACTGACAGTCAGTCAGAAACATCTGTGATATGAAAACTGTTTCTTATCATGAAATAACTCTTTATAACATTGACATAGTGCTGGTCATTATTTTTTTGGAATATGGCTATATCCAAAAGCAAGAGACGAGAAGGTAACTTATTCTTACACTGAAAACTTTCACTTACAATTCCTGTGAGAGAAATTTTCAAATCTCACATAATTAAAATCAGTTTTCCTTTTGGCAGGAGATGCAGGTAAAGCATTTCAGCGCAGATGTCTGGATGTAATCTATCTCTCCATTAGCTTTAACTTGAAAAGTGAGGAATATATAGATAGATTTAGATAAATACAGTCATTATTAAAAGAGAAATAATAAAAAAAGAAAGACAGGTATTAAATTGATAGGAATTACAGCCTTTATTTAAAGATCCATAGCTTGTTTTATATGCCTTGCTTTGAGAAAATACCTTCCCTGAAAATCAAAGCCCTATTTATAGATATTATTAAGTAATTTCTTTCTATAATTTTCTATGATTGTTTTACCTATACAACTATTCTCAAGTGTTCAGAGATATCAGGCCCTCAAAAAATGTTGAATAAATGCTCTTTGACAGATTGAGAGGCTGGGGAACTAAATTTACAGCATCAACTATCCATTGAAGCAACTGAATAATCCAGAATTAAATTAAGCAAAGCTGAAATGGCAAAGTAAACAAATAAGGAAGTATAATATGGATGATACAGCATTTCAGGAACTCAGCTATTTCTTTATTCTGATTTATTTTTCTACAGTTTCTTAAAGAGAAATATATTTCTTTACTAAGGGACTAGACAGTGTAGGGAAAGGACAATGGGACTTGTCATTCAAATTATACCACGTTTAATTATACTTAAATATAGGGCGTGGGAGAACAGGAGAAGGGATCAAAAAAACCCAGTTATCTCAAAATCTGTTTTTGGTTGGTTGTGTGTTCAATAACTAGTTCTGTTCTTACTAAAGCACTCTGATTTTGTTTTTGGCAGAAATGTGCTTGTGACCAGTGGGTTAATCCATAAAGGCTTAGGTTTGTTTTGCCATTATTGTTCTAAGGTTGGGCAGAAGCCAATGAAAGCTAAAAAACAATTATTTTGAGTATTTTATAAAGATTTCCCCCCTTTATTTAAATAAATTGAGACCTATAAAAGAGAATAGTGGAACAGTTTATCTCAGCAGCCTCTTGCTTCCCATATGGGGCTCTGCCACATGAAAACAGGATGCGTGCAATTATGGAAGCAGTTTGCAGCTACAGGCAGTATGGAAAAATCAGTACCACCAGGCTAAGGATGGTGAAGTAGGACGTGAAGAGCCTGGGTCCTTTTGACTTTGCTGAGCATTCAAGGTGACTCTCTGGGAATTACTTTAGTAGGAATCTTGGTTTCAGTAGGAATCTTTGGTTTAAGCCTTGGCTATCCATGAATCCTCAGCCTGTATCTAAACACATCCTAACATATAGAGTAGGATAGGGGCTGGAGGTCATGTCTGCTATAAAGTTCTGCTTTTTCCCTCAAGAATCTTCTTGAACTATAGGAAGAAGACGAGAAGGAAAAATATGTTCTTTAATCTAGAATGTCTTCTTGATAAAGATAGCTTCAGTTTTTTGCCAAGGGTTTTGACTAGGTCTGAGTAGGTGGATAAGGGAACACAGCACAAAGAGGCTGACAGGAAGTTGTATTGACTGTTATTAAATGTTGACTAGGGATTGAGGGGATTAAGGTGACAGGAACAAAGCTTATTAAGTGGGAAAAAAGGGTATAACATCAGTGAGCAGATTTAGATTAAAAATGAGAGGGGCCTTTCCTGGTGGCTCAGTGGGTTAAAGCATAGCACTATGAAGCTATCTGTAGCCACTGCAGCACAAGTTCAATCCCTGGCAGGGAAGGTAACCTATATGGCATGCAGACCTCTCCTAACCTGCCCACTGCTCCCCTCAGCAATGTATTTTGGTTGATCTACGTGTTCTGCTCCCTACTCTGTCTCTGGTGAATCCTCTCACCCCCTGGCACCTCTTGACCTGTACCCCAGTTCTTGTGTGCTTAAATAAATAAATCTTAAAGAAATATATTAAAATTTGAGAGTATGGTGTTGGGAGGGAAGGAAGGGAATGAGGAGGGGGAGGGGAAGGGAGAGAGGGACAGGGAAAATTTGGAAAGTTGCTATTATTATACATAATCATTTGGCATTTACTAGAGGGAAGTAGATGGATGAAATGTCAGGTGCAAATTTTTCCTCCTGCAATTGTGTG